CAACACCACCACCACCACCACCACCACCACCACCACCACCACCACCAAAACAACAACAACAACAACAACAACAACAACAACAACAACAATAATTATAAGACTGTTCGCTCTTATCCGCCCGCGTGTCATTCAAAACGAGTCCCCCACACCTTCGATACCAGCCTTCTTTGTCTTCGATCACACCCCCTTTGGGGGGACTGTTTCTCTTTGCGGGGGGCGGCGGGCTTACACAGGCGGGTAAACCTGAACGGGCGAACAATCCTTCGTGGGCGTACATGTGCCCGCCATTGGAATTGGTGTGGGCCATGCAAAAACAGGAGGGGGAGAACGAGGGAGAGTGGGAGGAAAGGAGGGGGACGGACGAAGGAAGAGGGAAAACGCCGGGAGAGAAGGAGCGAAGAGGGGGCGGTTAATTAGAGGCAGAGATAGAAAGAGAGAAACAACAAGAAAGAGAGAGAGAGAGAGAGGGAGGGCGAGGGCAGAGAGAGAAAGAAAGAGGGATGGAGGAGGCAGGAGAGGGGAGGGAGAAGGGAGGAGGGAGAGGAGGGAGAGGGGATAGGGCAGAGAGGCAGAAGGATTAGGGAAGAGAGGAGGGAGAGAGAAGGATGGAGAGGAGGGAAGACGGAGGAGGGAGAGGGAGGAGGAGCAGGAAGGTAAGAGCGTGAACGTTCGAGGAAGTCCTAAGCGAAAACGCCGTTCATGAAGGAAGTCTCGGGCGGGAGCCCACGACGGGCGGGCGATCCCCTGACGGGCGGGTCGGGCGGGTAGGAAATTCAAGCGAGATGCCTGAGTATGGCGATAGCGTGATTACTAAGTAAATTGTAGCGGCGTCCTTGGCGCAGCGTGTTTCCTGAGCGTCGAAAGCGCGATTTCTGCATAAATCGCATGGAAATCACACGCGCAAGCGCAAGTCCTGAATAACATGTGAACGGGCTCTCTGGCGGGAGCGGGGGTCTTGATTAAATTGCGAGGAAGTCGTGATTCAATTGCGAGGAAGTCTCAAGCGGGAGCGCCGTTCCTGAGTAAATTGTGGGGAAGTCTCAAATGGGAGCGGGGGCCCTGACTAAATTGCGAAGAGGTCACAGGCGGGAGCACCGATCCTGAGTACTTTTTGAGGAAGTCTCAGGAGCGGGGGTCCTGAGTAAATTTGGAGGAAGTCTCAAGCGGGAGCAGTTGTTGTTGCAATCGCGGGGGCCGGGGGGCACAGTTTGAGCACCAAGAGGTTCCCTGTCAAAAAAAAGGTGCGAGCGTCGATGGGGCACACTGTGCTTGCGAAAAAACAGCATGCACTGGTGAGGGGGGATCAACATGAATTATTCTTCGAAAACAAAAGTTCAACAACAACGACAACAACAACAATCATTTTAATAATGTTCGCTCTTATCTGCTCGCGTGTCATTCAATATGCATATCCCAAACCCTGGATACCCGCCCTCTTGGTCTTCGATCGTGCCCCCTTTTTTCGGGGTATAGATTCATTCCCTGCCACGTGTGGTTGGTGAATCCCTTGAGCAGAAACGGGGCCACGAAGGGCAGGGGCCACGAAGGGCGACAGCGGGGCCACGAAGGGCATGCATGTGGGGCCAGGACGGGCGCGAACGAGCGGGGGCCACGAATGGCATTCGTATATGGGGCCACAAAGGGCGACAGCGGGGCATCTGAGGGCAGCAAAGGGGCCACGAAGGGCAGCGAGAGGGCCACGAAGGGCGACAGCGGGACTACGAAGGGCATGCGTATGGGGCCACGACGGGCGACTGCGAGCGGGGGCAACGAAGGGCATAGAATGCGGGGCCACAGTGGGCAGCGACGGGGCCACTGAAGGCAGCAACGGGGCCACGAAGGGCAGCGAGCGAAGGCGACCGCGGAACCAGTACGGGCAGCAGGAGGGGGGGGCATCGAAGGCGGGCGAAGGGCAGCGAGCGGCGACTGCAGTCCCTAACGGGCTGGTCGGGTGGGCAGGCCCAGACGGGCGGGTCGAGCGGGCGGGTCGTTGAAGCGTAAATTCTTTGTGAACCGCCAGGCAATATGCAGCGGGAGCGCGATTCCTGAGTGTCGAGGAGCGGCATCAGAATAAATTGTGAGGAAGTCTCAGGCGGGAGCCGCGTTTCGGTGGTAACTTGCGAGGAAGTCCCCAGCGAGAGCGCGATTCTTCAATAAATTGTAAGAAAATCCCAAGCGAGAGCGCGATTCTTCAATAATTTGTGAGGGAGTATCAAGCGGGAGCCGCTGTTGTTGTAAACCGGGGGCCAACGACACAGTTTAACCCTCAAGACTTTCCCTTTAAAAAACTGGGTGCGACCCCCGGGAAGGGCACTTCAATTGAAACAAACAATGTGCACCGGACGGGGGGGATCAACAAAAATTATTCTTCAGAAGTGAGAGTTCAACATCAACAACAACAACAACAACAACAATCATTCTAAGACTGTTCGCTATTACTCGCCCGTGTGCCATTCAAAACGAATTCCCCACACCCTCGATACCCACCCTTTTTGTCTTTGATCACACCCCTTTGGGGGGGATTACTTCTCTTTGCGGGGGGCGGCGGGCTTAGACGTACATGTATCCGCCATTGGAATTGGTGTGGGCCCTGCAGAAAGACGAGGGGGATAACGAGGGATGGTGGACGGAAGGGAAGGGGAGGGACGAAGGAAGGGGGAAAACGCCAAAGAGAAGGAGCGAAGAGGGGGGCGGTTGATTAGAGGAAGAAAGAGAGAGGGAGATAGAAAAACAAACAGGGAAGAGAGGTAGAGAAAGAGAGAGAAAGAGAAAGGGGAGAGAGAGAGAGAGAGAGAGAGAACAACAAAAAAGAAGGGAGGGAGGAGGCAGGAGAGGGGAGGGAGAAGGGAGGAGGGAGAGGAGGGAGAGGGGACAGGGCAGAGAGGCAGAAGGATTAGGGAAGAGAGGAGGGAGAGAGAAGGGAGGAGAGGGGGGAGGAGGGAGGAAGGACAGGGAGGAGGAGCAGGAAGAGCGTGAACGTTCGAGGAAGTCCCAAGCGAAAGCGCCGTTCCTGAAGGGAGTCTCGGGCGGGAGCCCACGACGGGCGGGCGATCCCCCGACGGGCGGGTCGGGCGGGCGGGACATTCAAGCGGAATGCCTGAGTACGGCGAGGGCGCGATTCCTAAGTAAATTGAGACGGCGTCCTTGGCGCAGCGTGTTTCCTGAGCGTCGAAAGCGCGATTTCTGAATCAATTGTCTGGAAGTCACAGGCGAGAGCGCAATGCCTGAATAAAATGTGAAGGGTTCTCTGGCGGGAGCGGGGGTCTTGATTGAATTGCGAGGAAGTCTTGACTCAATTGCGAGGAAGTCTCAAGCGGGAGCGCCGTTATTGAGTAAACTGTGGGGAAGTCTCGGATGGGAGCGGGGGCCCTGACCAAATTGCGAGGGAGTCAAAGGCGGGAGCACCGACCCTGAGCGAATTGTGAGGAAGTCTTCGGTGGGTGAGGGGGGTCCTGAATAAAGTTGGAGGAAGTCTCCGGCGGGGGCCGTTGTTGTTATAATCCGGGGGGCCAGGGGCACAGTTTGAGCACCAAGACTTCCCCGGTCAACAAAAAAAAAGGGCGAGCGTCGAGGGGCGCGTTTTGATTGAGAAAAACAAGACGCACCAGTGAAAGGGGGCCAACAATAATTATTCTTCGAAAATCAAATTTCAACAACAATAACAACAACAACAACAATAATAATAATAATCTTAAGACCGTTCGCCCTTATATGATCGAGTGTCCAATAACGCCTATTTCCCAAACCCTCGATACCCGCCCTCTTCGTCTTCGATCGAACCCCTTTTGAGGGGTATACCTTTCTTCCCTGCAGGTTGGGCCCCAGCAAGCGGCGGGGCGGCCGCGGACCGTCGGCCTGGCCAGCGGCAGCGCTGATCGGTGGGGCGGCCGCGGACCGTCGACCCGATCCGAAGAGGGACGGACAGGGGACCGACCACGACGACGACGACGACGACGACGACGACGACGACGACGTCGAAGACGACGGCGGCGACGACGATGACGGCGACGACGAGCGAAAGCGAGAGCGAGAGAACGACAGCAGGGCCACGAAGGACACGAAGTAGGCCACGAAGGGCGAAAGCGGGGACACGAAGGGAATGCGTGAGCGCGAACGAACGGGGGCCACGAAGTGCAAATAATGCGGGGCCACAGAAGGCAACTATGGGTCCACTGAGGGTAGCAACTGGGCCACGTATGACAGGGAGGGGGACACAAATGGCGACAGCGGGGCCACGAAGGGCATGCACATGGGGCCACAATGGGCGCGACTCCTGGGTGCCTGGGTGTCGGGAGCGCGGCGCTTGGGCAAATTGCAAGACATTCCAATGCAAGGCCATTCTTCAGCAAGTTGCAAGCAAGTCTCCAGCGAGAGCGCGGCTCCAGAGCGCCGGGAGAGCGATTCCTGAATAAATTGTAAGGAAATCCCAAGCGAGAACACGAATCCTGAGTAAAATGCGAAGAAGTCAAAGGCGGGAGCGGGGGTCCTGGCTAAATTGCAAGGAAGTCTCAAGCGGGAGCCGTTGTTGTTGTAACCCGGGGCCCAGGGGCCCAGTTTGACCAGGAAGACTTTCCCTGTCAAAAAACAGGGTGCGAGCGTCGAGGGGCACACTTTGATTAAGAAAAAACAGTATGCACCGGTGGGAGGGATCAACAATAATTATTTTTCAAAAATTAGAATTCAACAGCAACAACAACAACAACAACAAAATCCCCAAACTCCCCCCCGACAACGCCCTGAGGAGGGGAAAGCAACAAAAAGAAAAACGAGAGGGGAAAACAAAAACGATGCCCTTATTATGTTTGCCCCTCCGGTTGGGCCATCTGGATTTCAGGTGATCGGTCCCCGGCCTGATCCACCGCCGCTATGGGAAAATGCCCCCCCTTCTTCCTCCGGAACCCGGGCCCCCCCCCCTCCGAAAATCCCCCCCCTCCCCTGGTGAACCACCCCCCCCCTTCCCCCCGGCAAAACCCCCCCCCCCTCCCTCACCCCCCCCCTTCCGGAAAACCGGGGGGGGGGTCACTACCGATTCGGGCCCCTTCCCCCCCCCCCGCGCTCCATCACTACCAGACCGGGGACTACCGGGTCACTACCGGTCCGGCTCGAGCCCCCCCCCACCTCTAGAAAACTGGGGGGGGTCACTACCGGTTCGAGCCCCCCCCTCCATCCCCCCCCCACTGGCCGCCGGCGGACGACCCCCAGGTCCATGCCACCGTCCGCACCACATCCCCCACTACCGTCCCCAGCACCACTGTCCTCACCACCGCTGTCCCCACTGTCCCCACCGGTGCCCCGACCAGTGTCGCACTGTCTCCACTGTCCCCACCACCTGTTCCCACCACGGTCCCACTCTCCCCACTTTCCCCATGGCCCCAACCACTGTCCCACTGTCCCCACTGTCCCGCTGTCCCCGCCGCTGTCCCACTGCCCGCCGCTGTCCCGCTGAGCTGTCCCACTGTTCCCACCACTGTCCCCACTGTCCCAACCATTGTCCCCACTGCACCTCTGTCCCATTGTCCCACCACTGTCCTCGCCACCGCCCTCACAACTGTCCCCGCCACCAGTGTCCCCACAACTGTCCCACTGTTCCCACCACATTCCCACTGTCCCCACACCACTGTCCCCACCATCACCGTCCCCACCACTGTCCCACAGTCTCTACCACTGTCACACTGTCCGCAGTGTTCCCACCATTGTCCCCGCTGTCCCCACCAGTGCCCCCACCAGTGTCTCACTGTCCCCCCTCCCCCCACCATTGTCCCGTCACGGTCCCGATCTCCCCACTTTCCCCACGGTCCCCACCATTGTCCCACTGCACCCACCACTGTCCCCACTGTCCCCGCCGCTGTCCCACTGTGCTGTCCCACTGTCCCCACTGCCACCACCACTGTCCCACTGTCCCCACTGTCCCCACCATTTTCCCCACTGTACTACTGTCCCACCACCGTCCTCACCACCGCCTTCACCATTGTCCCCACCACCACCGTCCCCACCAGTCCCACTGTCCCCACCACTGTCTCGCTGTCCCCACACCAGTGTCCACCACCGTCCCCACCACTGTCCGCCCCACTGCCCCAGTCCCCGCAGCACTGTCCCCACCACCACCGTTCCCACCACTGTCCCAATATCCCCACCACGGTCCAACTGTCTCGACGAGCGGGTTGCCGGCGGCGAGGGGGGGAGAGTTCGAACCGGTAGTGGCCCTCCCCGGTTTTCGAGGCGGGGGCGGGGGTCGAACCGGTAGTGGCCCCCCCCCGTTTTCGAAGGGGGGGGGGAGACGGGTTGGGAACCCCCAGTGACCCACCCCAGTTTTCCGCCAGCAGCGGTAGAACACGCTCTTTCAGATATTCGCATCGTTGTGTTGCTCGCTGCCGTGGCACCTGATGCACGCGTAGTGACACGGGCGCGAAGGGTCTGGGATTATGTTAACGAGCGACTGCGGGAGCTCGCCGCCCACGGCCTTGGCAAAGCTCCCGCGTGCGACGACCGAGCTGACGCTCTGGAAAAATGGCGCCCCGCCGCCCGCGCAGGCCAGGACGCCACACGAGGCCAAGCCGCACTCGTCCCCGCAGTAGTGACACGTGACTGGGCCGGTCGCGACAGCATGGACGCCCAAGAACCTGGCCGTGCCGCTGGCCTCCCCGAGCACTGGAGCCAGCTTCGTGTTGGCCGCGATCCCTGTGGCCACGTGCCCTCCTCGGACCTCTCGCCCAATCCTCGCCGCCCGTCCCTGAGCTCGGCGAGAGGGGGCCCTGCCCGCGTGGCGGTCCGGCTCCCGCCCCGGAAGGTCGCACGGAGCGCTGCCGCTCGCTCTCGCCCTTCCCTGACTCCGGATCCGCCCTACTTTGGTTTTTTTTCCAACTTCGAATTGCGTCGGAAATCCACCTACAAGAGGCCGAAAAAGTAGGGCGGAAATTGCTGCACCCAACATAAAATAAAGCGGAAATCCACAGAAACAGCTACAGAAAAGTAGGGCGGAAATTGGCATCAGCGGGGCTTGAAAAGTAAGGCGGAAATTCCAAGCCCTACTTACGAATTTCCCCAAAGTAGGGCGGATCCGGAGTCAGGGTTCCTCCACGAGCGCCCGCCCAGGTTCCGTCTGCCTTCCTCCTGCGCGCTGGCATGGGGAGCGCCAGGGAGAGTACTCTTTTCGTGTCCGCCGCGGCGCGGCGCCGATGGCGCAGGCACAAAGACCAGCTTCCGCGCCCAACCGGTATTCAGAAATGGCCAAGCGCATGTGCCCACATGGCCACAGACGCCGGGCAAGAAAAATAGCACACTTTCGTGCTGGCACAAGGGGGCAACACAAAGCATAATCGAACAGAACGCAATTGACCATAATACCGCAACGACCTCGTGACGGCGTTTTATCGAACGCAACATGCGCACCGAGGTCACGCTGGCCACAGGAACAATCAGGCGCGGCAGCGACATATTGGACGACCTATCTACCGTGATGTGCGTCACGGAACGCCCGCACGCCAACAACAAAACAAAACCTGTGAGACCATAGCAGGATAGAACATGATTGACGACTGTTGAAAAGAGCCACGACCGATAAACTACGCCGCGTTCGACGCAACATGCGCGCCGATGAAAGGCTGGCCACAAGAGCAAATAGGCACCGTAGACGGCATATCAAACGCGACACTCGTCACGACGTCACGCCGCCTCGTCGAGAACAGAAAAGAACGAGCCATGCGTGAACAAAGCAAAACAAATATATCATAACGCGATCGAATAGACCGCAGCAGCGACCGAGTAACGGCGTCTTATTAAACGTGACATGCGCGCCGAGCTCAGGCTGGCCACAGTATCAAGCAGCACCAGACTCGGAAACAGACGCCGAAGGTTTCGGCGCAGATCGCGCGAAGCAACATACATTCAAACAGCGACAATTCAATAATTCATTGCAACGAACGGCATGAAACCCCACGCGCGCGCGATCGTCTCGAAAACCGATCAGCGGACACGAGTGCCGCAGACCTTCCCACGTACGAAACACGCAGGGGACATAACGCGTGGCTGGACGTTCTGTCCGCGCGCAGTTGCAGGAATCGCGCGATTTTTTTCGTTCGCAAAAATCGTCCATAACCCTTTTTGAACGGAGAAGAACGAAGGGCATGAGGGAGGGGGCGACCGCGACATCTCTCGAGCAACCCGCGCATTCCGGGGCACTGCGCGGCAGAGACTGACCGATGACTTTCAGTTGCAGCAACCGCCCAGAAATAACAGCATATATCTATAAACAAAAATGCGTTCGCCCCCCCCTCCCCCAAGCACCCCCAAACCACGCAAAAAAAACCTTCACTGATCGTTCGCTCGTCGTCGTCGTCGTCGACCTCCTCCTCCTCCTCCTCCTCCTCCTCCTCTTCCTCCTCCTCTTCCTCCTCGTCCTCCTCCTCCTCCTCCTCCTCCTCCTCCTCCTCCTCCTCCTCCTCATCTTCCTTCTCTTTCCTCCCCCCCCCCTTTCTCGAACGCCTTCGAAATCAACGAAATCGCGAAACGCGATTTAAACAAAAAAACGCACGCAAACCCAACCAAAAAAACATAGCAACAAAATGAACCTCGGACACCCCTCCCCCGAAATCATAGTTTGTTGTTGGTTGTTGGTTGTTTTTGGGGTTTGCTCAATCGTTTCCGCCCCCCCCCCCGCGCCGCCCCGCCCCCCTCTCCTCCTTCCCTGTGGAGGAGGAAGGGGGGCCGTTTTATGAGTCGTCCCTCCTCCGCATAACTTGCCTTGACTTGCTTCCTTCCTCCTGCGCTTTCCTCCATCCCCCCGCCCCCCCCCCCCCTGGGGAGGGCGGAGGGTCTTCGATGAGTCATTAATCTTCCTTCTCCTCCTCCTCCCCCTCCTCGTCCTCGTCGTCCTTCCCTCCTCCTCCTTATCCTCATCCCCCGTGTCGCCGCCATTATCACCATCGCCAGCGCCGCCATCATCATCATCATCATCATCATCATCATCATCATCATCATCATCATCATCATCACCACCATCATCATCATCATCATCATCATCATCATCATCATCATCATCATCATCATCATCATCATCATCATCATCATCATTATCATCCTGACCATCATCATCCTCATCATTATCATCAGCATCATCATCAACATCATCAGCATCGTCAACATCATCATCGCCATCGGAGTCGACCTCGTCTCATCTACCGCATCCGCTCTCTCCTCTCATCTCAACCTCCTCCTCGCCCCCATCCTGATCACCTTCCTCCCGGGGGTATGTAGAGGCCGCAACCGCATCGATTGCAACCCAGTCTGTCGCAGCCCATGCGTTGATACATTTTCCGAGGGTGCTCTGTCTCATCGCGCAAGCCCGTCGGGCGGCCGATCGGCAGCGACCGCTCGGCGGGAAATAACACCTACAAAACATGCCGGCTCGAGCGCGAGCACGCGACGCGCATCGCGCCGACGGCCCTCGGCGCGCAATCAGCGCCAGGAGCGCCAGCAGCAGCGCCACCACAAGCAACGGCACCAGCAGCAGCGCCGTCAGGATCGCAATTGCTTTGCTAACGTCCCAACAAATTTGCGGCATGATTTGCGGTAGTATTGTTTCCCATACGGATTTCTGGCTGCACAATAAATCGCACTCAACTGAATACTGCTTTTTAATTCAGAGGCCACGGTGGGAACCCATTTTAGGGGTTCCCTTGTTCGTTCCCCTTTGAGCCCGCAAATAAACATCCTCATCTCTATTCCCGCGCCTCTCTCCTGTCCCCTGCACCCACCCCGCTCTCTCGCCCGTCCGCGCCGCTCTTCTTTCTCCGCCTGGCAGTCGCTCGTCCGCAAGCCCCAGCGCCAGTCGGGCAGCGGGGGCTCGCGCGGGCCTAGGTGGAAGTAGCGCGTCCTCCACCAGCGCAGCTGGCGGAAAAGCCGGTCGAGCTGGGCGCGCGGGCAGACGGCGCAGGCCCTTGTCCCAGAACCCCTAGCTGAGCGAGGGGGTCCTTCGTTTCGTCGTGCACTCTTCTTCTCGTTTTCGGTTTTCGCCAGCTCGGCCTCCGCCGCCCGCTTCTGTCGCTGGAGTTGCCAGTTATCCTTCTTCAGGTCCCTGTTGAGCTTTCTCTCGCGCTGCACGTCAAGGCAGTTCATGAACCACTCGCGGGCGCGGCCACCGCGCTCCAGTTCGAGCTCCCGGCGAAAGCTGGAAGACCAACGGCGCGCCCAAACACCTGCATTCAGTTCCGGTTGTGGCGAGAGGTGCCGCAAAGCAGCAGCACTCGCTGAACCAAAATTACAAGGTGGAAAGGGTTGCGCGGCTGGTCTCTCAGTCCCCCGCTAGCCTCGCGAGTCTTCACGACCTCCTTGTGCATGGACGCATCGGCCTTGAGCAAGGCCTCGCTGGCGCTAATGAGGCCCTCGTTTTTGAAGGCCCAGTCACGCACCTGTGCGGGGGGCGCGGAACATCTGTTGATGAATGTTTCCCCTTGCCTGGGTTTGAGGGGTCCGATTCTCGGTGTCTTGTGCGGGCGGGTTTTGATACAGCTGCATTCTGGCGCCAAAGAGCCTTCACCTTGAGCTCTGCCTCGTAGGCCCCGCAGAAGTCGGGGAAGAGCTCTTCGCACTTGCTGCCTAGACGCGCGAGCTGGCGCCTTTTGTTCCGTGCCTTGCTGTACTCCTTGCGCGCCCTGCTCTTGAGCGCCCCATGTTTTTTCTTCGGTTTGCCTGCCTTCTCGGGCATTGCTGGGCGGTTTGAGCCAGAACGACACTAGAGATAGCGATTTACGACACGTTGCAAAATCCTCCCCCTTCCTCCTCCTCATGCTCCTCCTCGCCCCGTCCTCCTCCTCCTCCTCCTCCTCCTTCTCCTCCTCCTCCTCCTCCTCCTCCTCCTCCTCCTCCTCCTCCTCCTCCTCCTCATCCTCCTCTTCCTCGCCCTTCTATCATCGTCCTCCTTCCTCCACGCCCTCCTCTCCAAGAGGGGCGAAACGCCCTCCACCCTGCAGCCTCGACAATTGCGCGTCTTGCAATGACGAGTAATGGTACCACGACTAACGCCCGCCGCCCGAGGCCGCGCTTCTCCGCGAGAGGGGCAGAGGATGAGGGGCAGAGGGGAGGAGGAGAGATAATATGAGGAGATAAATAAATCAGGATGAGATCCCCATCATCATCATCATCATCATCATCATCATCATCATCATCATCATCAGCATCATCATCATCATCACCACCATCATCGTCATCGTCATCGCCATCGTCATCGTCATCGCCGACGACATCGTCATCGTCATCGTCATCATCATCATCACCATCATCGTCATCGTCATCATCATCACCATCATCATCAGCACCACCATCATAATCACCATCATGGGAGAGCGGGAGAGAGGGAGAGCGGGAGAGAGGGAGAGCGGGAGAGCGGAGGACGGGGTGCTGAAGAGGATGCCCTCCCCAGTCCGTCGTTTGGGGGCGCTTGTTTGGGGGGCGGGCAAAAATATATAACCTTGCTATGTAAAACAAACAAGGAGACAAGTACGGTGGGGGCATTGGATAAGGAACCAACGGGTACGGACTCCAGGATCTCGAAGCCAATGGAACTTCAATCGTGGATCAGCCATGGATACCACCGCCACCCTCATTGGACAAGGAGTCCTCCAGGGTCTGGCGCCTCCCGGGACTATTCCTTAACCGACGCCCCCAGCGCACCGTCGGGGCATTGACCTGAGGAACCCAAAATAAGGAACGATCCCCCCTTTCTTTCCCGTGGGTTAGACTTCGACTTCCCATCGGAAAGCCTGAGGACAACTGCACAACAACTACGGAACACGGAGCCCCTCCCCAACGACGAAGGCTCCTTCTTCAGCGCCCCGACTGCAGAGCGCCTCAAAGACAGGCGAAAACCATATGGTGGCCAACGGAAAGTCGGCCAAATGTCGTGAATTTCCGCGCGCGCTTCCGCACAATCACCCTTACCAGCGCCACCACATCACCGCCGTCATCGTCATCGCCAATCGCTGCCATTGGCGCCACCACCAGTCAATCACCTTCATCATCGACACATGGACACCATCATCGTCATCGTCGTCACCAGCATCGGCGCCGTCATTGGCCTTGCTGCCGTCACCGTCGTAATCGCCACCTCCACAACCGTGACTATCATCATCATTGCCGCCGCTGTCGACGCCATCATGACACCGCGCCCGCCCGAGTAACCGACCAGCACTAAGTTGCCGCGCGACATAGCGGGTTTTGAGACGCGCTGGGAATTTCTCAGCGGTAAGCGCCATCGTGACCGCGTCGGTTGTGCCAAACCAGCTGGCCGCTTCGCGCACAAGTTTGCGCGCTAGCGCAGTCGTAAAGCTGCGCAGCAAGTGCCACATAAACACCGCAATCGTGGCCGATTGGGTTGCGCAAAGCAAGTTACGGCTGGGAGGGCGGGGTGATTGCGCAAGCAGTGGAGTTGACAACTTCAAGTTTAGCCATGTGGAGTGTCCCACATAGCTTGCACTACTTAGGTTGCACCACACAGATTGCACCAAACAGCATGCAACAGATCCACCACCATGCCCCCTGGCACGGTCAGGCGTGGTAGTGCCAAGGGCTGCCTGGTAGTATTTCTGTAATCTTCAAAGGCCCCACCTCATCTTGTGCTAGTTGCATGCGCTGTCCCCCTTCTGAGGCCACGATCTGGTGTCAGAAACTATAAATCCACGCTCCCGAGGTCGAGATCCCTCCAAGATCCCTTCGAGAAGCACACCGCGCTCGGTCACAATCCCTAAACAAAAACAATGGGCCCGCGCTCCCGAGCTCCCAAGACGGCCGATGCAGGCAACCAAGCCCGTCAACATGGCCCAGGATGCCTCCACGACGGCCCGCGATGGCACCAAGGCGACCCAAGACGGCATCAATTCCGGCCAAGAAGACCCAAGACGGACCAAGAGGGCCACACGAGGACCCCCAGTCGGACCCGAAGAAGCCCAAACACTTTGTTCGCCTCAGGTTGTCCCAAAATCTTGGGCGGCTTCACCTTTTCGGCCGTCCTGCAGCTCCAGACGGCCACAGATGCCTTCAAGATGGCCCCAAGATGATCCAAGAAAACCCCCAAGTTAAAAATAGAAAATCCTCCAAGACGTCTGCAAGACAGCTCAAGAGGGCCCCTAGACGAGCCCAAGAGAGCCCCAAGCTGGACCAAGAGGGCCTCCGGAGGGGCCCAAGACGGTCTTAGAGAGCCCCTCGGCGGCCCAAAGACGGCCCCACACTGCAGACGGCCAAGGAGGCCTCAAGATGGCCCGAGAGAGCCCCAAGCCAAGACGGGCCCAAGAGACCCCAAAGGCTTCCCCACAGGGCCCGGAGAAAGGACGGAAGAAACAAAATGAAGACAAGGAAAATGACATGATAATCCTCAACACGACGCAGAAGAGTGCCTCCCATTGCTTTTTGTTTGACCTTGGGCACGCACGTACCACTTGACTTTGTATCGACATATGTCAACATATACGTATGGGTACGTGTTGCGTGTATAGACATACACACAAAAAATACAAGCATGAATCCATCAATGAAAAAATGAAGATATCCATCAACAAAAAAATCAATGCACAAATTTACTGGAAACAATGAATACACTAATAAATGGATGAATACAGGTTCAATTAGATGTATATGTATATAAATGTATTCTGATAAACAAATAAATAAATCGAAATCCACGGTGGACAGAGGCCCATCTCCTCCGACTGCATGTTTCCGTGACCTGAATCCCCCAGGATCTCGGCCCCTCCACTGGAGCCAGCTCCTCATCCCTGGTCGTCTCTCCAGCCCCGTGGGCCCCGCAGACGGCCCCCGGAGACCGAAAACGCAGAAGCAGCTGCGGTCATTATCTTCTTTGCGACGCCCAGATCCGACTGCGTCGTTCCAGGCCTGCTCACATCGGGGGCGCCCGAGAGAGGGGGGCGGCCCAGAGGTTAAGTCGGGCGTGTCCCCCTACAGGGGGATTTTCGAGGAATACTCAATACTCAAACATTTTCCCGGCAAAGCAACCTAACAGCGATGTGTAGAAGCATATATGGAAGCAATCCCCTTAAGATTCAGATGAGAATCCAGTTGTAGAGTTCTGCTGTTCTCGCAGTCGCAGTCGCATTCGCGATGACAGTCGCAGTGGCAGCGGCAGTCGCAGTCACAGCCTCAGCCTGCCTCAGTATCAGCCTGCCTCAGTCTCAGCCTCAGCCTGCCTCAGCCTCAGCCTCAGCCTGCTTCAGCCTCAGCCTCAGTCTGCCTTCAGCCTCAGCCTCTGTGCCTCAGCCTGCCTCAGCCTCAGCCTGCCTCAGTATCAGCCTGCTTCAGCCTCAGCCTCAGCCTGCCTCAGCCTCAGCCTCAGCCTGCTTCAGCCTCAGCCTCAGTCTGCCTTCAGCCTCGGCCTCAGCCTCAGCCTGCCTCAGCCTCAGCCTGCATCAGCCTCAGCCTCAGCCTCAGCCTGCCTCAGCATCAGCCTGCCTCAGCCTGCCTCAGCCTGCCTCAGCCTCAGCCTCAGCCTCCGCCTCAGCCTCAGCCTGCCTCAGCCTCAGCCTGCCTCAGCCTCAGCCTGCATCAGCCTCAGCCTCAGCCTCAGCATCAGCCTGCCTCAGTCTCAGCCTCAGCCTGCCTCAGCCTCAGCCTCAGCCTGCTTCAGCCTCAGCCTCAGTCTGCCTTCAGCCTCAGCCTCTGTGCCTCAGCCTGCCTCAGCATCAGCCTGCATCCGCCTCAGCCTCAGCCTCAGCCTCAGCCTCAGCCTGCCTCAGCATCAGCCTGCCTCAGCGTCTGCCTCAGCCTGCCTCAGCCTCAGTCTGCCTTCAGCCTCAGCCTCAGCCTCAGCCTGCCTCAGCATCAGCCTGCCTCAGCCTCAGCCTCAGCCTCAGCCTGCCTCAGCTTCAGCCTGCCTCAGCGTCTGCCTCAGCCTGCCTTCAGCCTCATCAGCCTCAGCCTGCCTGCCTCAGCCTCAGCCTCAGCATCAGCATCACCATTCTCAGCCTCTGCATCAGCATCAAAATGTGGCCCGGGAATGGAGTTCTGGGAACTCGAAGAGCACGAAGTGGCCTACAGTTGGCTCCGGGCATTCAAAATGTGGCCCGGGAATGGAGTTCTGGGAACTCGAAGAGCACGAAGTGGCCTACAGTTGGCTCCGGGCAATCAAAATGTGGCCCGGAATCTGTTTCTCTGGGCCCCCAAAAAAAAAAACTTTCCCCCCCCCCGAAAAAGAGCACGAAGAGCACGAAGTGGCCTACAGTTGGCTCCGGGCATTGAAAATGTGGCCCGGGAATGGAGTTCTGGGATATCGAAGAGCACGAAGTGGCCTACAGTTGGCTCCGGGCATTGAAAATGTGGCCCGGGAATGGAGTTCTGGGAAGTCGAAGAGCACGAAGTGGCCTACAGTTGGCTCCGGGCATTCAAAATGTGGCCCGGGAATGGAGTTCTCGGAAGTCGAAGAGCACGAAGTGGCCTACAGTTGGCTCTGGGCATCCAAAATGTGGCCCGGGAATGGAGTTCTGGGAGGTCGAAGAGCACGAAGTGTGTGACTGTTTGCGAAAAACGAATTCGGACACGAGTTCGGACACAGCTCCCCGGATGCCGCCCAGACCCCCCTGTGGAGTCATCTGCTGCTCTCTTTTGACACCAC